TATATATATATATATATATATATATATGCCACACACCCTGCCTCACCGCACACGCACGCACACACACACGCGCGCGCACACACACACACACACACACACACACACACACATACACACACACACACGCACACAAATGGTAAAAGAAATGGGGCCCCTGAAATGAAGTCCTTCTCTCTAATTTGAAGCTCTTTATGCCTATAGTCTTAATAGTCGTTTAGGAGGCAGAGCTGTTACAGAGCTCTCTTGTCTCCATTTCTAAGTATGGGTGGTCCAAAACCTTGTCCTACAATTTCGATTGCATCGGGTCAACGAGGTATGTCGGTACCTCTGTTCAATTGAAATGAGAAGTGGTGAACTCCTAAGCAACAGTAACCAGGTAGTATTGTATTTAGGTGAGATTTCATTGATTAGTGATTCCGGGAGCCTTAGCTGTTGAGGCCATTAGTCCCGTAAGTGTAATACATGTTTTTATTGCGGGAGATGACAGCCGACCGACCCGTCGGCTAGCGGGGATCCCCTCTACCTGGTATCTCCCACCAGCGGGGCACCGCCCCAGCCAGGACAAGCTCTGAGCTTCCTACTGTCTCCAGGCGCGTGTGGTAGTGCGTGTAAGTGTGAGTGTGTAAGTAACAGTGAGAATAGGACAAGGAGGAAGGAAATATCGTGCGCGGTCCATTTCCCGTTTGTTAGGGGTACTGTTCCGGCATTCGTCTGATGGACACACTTCGGGAAACTACTGATCAGGACTGTCGCAACTAAAATTCTCCAGACTGCGACTGAATTAGACTTTATGTAGTAAGTGTCATCATCGTAACTCGAGCCCTTGGACCTCCCAGTCAGTCACTGCAGTGGCATCAGTTGACACTCTGAGCCACCTAAGACATTAGCTGGGTGAAAGACTAGTGCCTTCGTCCACCTTCCAGTGTCCAAGATAAGGCGGTAGGTAATTTCGTCTCACATTGTGAACGTTCTTAGCTCTGAAAGTGTCTCCGCGTTGTAGCCTTGCTATCGAGGTCTTCAGAATGCCACGTTACCATGATATCAGGGGCGCAACGTTAATTTCGGTTTCGGAACGTTTATTTTCAATTACAGCAGTCTACAGAATCCCTTAGAGCACCTTCGGAACGACCTTCACCCGTGAACCCGTGACCGAAATTAACGCGATATTCACACAGCCAAGAGCGGTCACATTAGTGAGACCTTGGAGCCTACGACTTAGTTTCAGTGCGACTACCTTTGAGCTTTTCTGCCACTTTTCCGCTGCCGTCTTTCTTTCGCCTGTGGCGACGTGCAGTTGAACGTTACTGGCGACTTTGCCGTTGTACGTGGGCCGGAAGCTCAAAAGGCGACACGACTAAGTTCCCTAATGCTCTCATAAGTGGTTTCGTAGCTATCGACTAAATAATATTAGTAATGCGTCGTAGAGTAACCCACGGAAAACAGCTGTCATTCCAGAGATGGTGCTGGTGGCAGAGATGGAGCAATACTATTGATTACGGTGCTTTCTTATGTTATTATAATTTACAGGAAAGTGCGTTGTAAGTTTTTTATGTCGCTTTTTAACTTTGTGGTCATATAGCGACCACTATGGCTACAGGAGGAACTTTTGAAATAATAGGTAGGGACAACACGAGCACACACAAACATCCATATCCGAGGCGGGATTCGAACCCGCTGAGGCAGCAATAGTCGTGCAGACTTTGCGACCTCGGCTATCCTGGCCGGCGCGTTGTAAGTTTGTATATGCGTATATTTAGTTTGCATTCAGTATTTGATTGGCGAGTAACGACTGCTTTTCATTCGCGGTAATAAAAACTAATACTTTTGTAGATTTGTAGAATATTACAATACCATAGTGTTTAATAATTACTATACTTTTAGATCTATTTGTATTTGTTTGCCAAAGCTGTCAGTATTGTATTATGTATTAATTTTTAATTATTTTACTTTCTCGCATTCAGCGTAATTTTTGCATCTGATGTACTAAGATTTTAAATGAGTTCTACAAAACAATAATTCGGAGAGAAACTGTGGTATAAGTAGTATTACATATCCATTACTAGTGACGAGAAAGCACATGCTGTTCAAGCATCACCAATTTTCTTTAAATATTTTGCCTGGGTAGTGCTAAATGCACTGATTAACCAGGCCATTAGATACCATTTTGCTGCTTTCTTTTGTTGTTGTGTTCAAAAGTTACACAACTGTATTTTGTTTTAAAGATGTCTCTCATCTTGTTAGGATGTACATTACTTGCGTTTCTGATGCATTATTGTATTTGTGAGTACAAGTGCTTGAAATTATTTCTTGACAACTCGAAAGGTTTGGCTGAAAATGAGCTTGAAACTGCGCATTTTTAGAAACATTTACATGGCAGATTCTTAAAAACAGTTTCATACTTTCTCAATGAAAATGTGAATATGGTGTCAGAAATACTCTATTATTTTCTATTAATCAAAGTATAGTTTATTTTTACTGATACATTATAGCTTGTTATTGCCATCGATAAGGAACTCGATATTCACTGCATTAGCAAAATACCCGGCGTTGCCTGGGTTCTTTCATATTCAATCCTTGTGAAAAAGGAAACGTCTCTCTCTCTCTCGCTCTCTCTCGCTCGCTCGCTCTCTCTTTCGCTCTCTCTCGCTCGCTCTCTCTCTCTCTCTCTCTCTCTCTCTCTCTCTCTCTCTCTCGCTCGCTCGCTCGCTCGCTCTCTCTCGCTCGCTCTCTCTCGCTCGCTCTTCCGCTCGCTATCCCGCTCGCTCTCCCGCTCGCTCTCTCTCTCGCTCGCTCGCTCGCGCGCTCTCTCTCACTCTCGCGCGCTCTCTCACTCTCGCGCGCTCTCGCTCTCGCGCTCAGCCTCTCAGCCTCTCACTCTGCTCTGACTCTCAGCCTCTGTCCCTCTCTGCATCCGCCCGTCTCTCGGTGTCTCTTTGTGTCTTTGTCTCCATTTCTCTCTTCATGTCTGTCTGTCTCTGTCTGTGACTCTATCTGCCCTTTATTTCAAACTCATAGGGCATCGAGTTCAGACACTTTCTCTATACTGCGCAAGCAGTATGTGAGATAGAAAAGAATAATTGAACAAATGATAATAAATTTTAAATTATAAATTATTATTTCATTGATATTGTTATATATTTTATTCATTTACTGGTAAACAGTGCCGTATGTACATGAAAACTTCAAAGGAAAAGCGGACCCCCAAAATGTAGATGGCTCCCTCTCTTGTATTGGGCTGTGCATGTTTATGAATCAGATGTTATTGTACAAAGCAAATGTTATTGTTGATCCCAGGACCTACAAAACTGCAGTTGGGTTCTCTCAGGGCTGAGCCTTCAAACGTCTTTTGAGTGATATAACGTGCACTGCAAAGCTCAATGTCCATATGACCAGAAAACTGAAAGAATTACCTTCCATGGTAATGTCATGGTAGTCACTATTGCCAGAATTGCATGCCAACCATATCGTAATAAAACAATATGAATTGTTTTACTGGATGTAGTAGGTCTGCTATTGGTTGATTACAATACTGCAGCAATTCTAAATACAGAAAAGAACAGGCGATTCATCTGTGGTTGCATCTTCTAAATGACTGGTAATTGACTGTTCATTATTTCGGATTCTAGTAGCACTTAGTGGTGTAGTAAACCTTTTAGGTGTTTAGTTCAGTCCTTTCCTTAGGGGGATTGATGGGCTTCTAACAGCCTCTCTTTTGATGAAGTTCTGGGTCAGAGATGAAAAGTTTAAGGATAAGTGATGGATGCCATTGAACTAGCTAATTCACCCAAAGATTCTTGTGAATGAAGAAATGGAGGGAAGACTGAAACGTCAATAGAGTAAGGCCACCAGCTGGGTCAACAACCATCATTCCATGTTAAATTGCAAAAAGTAGATTGGGTTTGAGTGTATGTGTTTTGTGTTGTTGCTCGAGTCATAAAAATCCGTTGCATTAACTCTTACAGTTTATAAAATACTAACACTACATTCATTAATGGTCACAACTGTTTTCAACAACATTGCAGGTTATAGAATTTCTTCTGCAGATACAAGCCCTGGAAGAAAAAAAATGGCCTGGTGATTTAGCAGAAAAAGCTTTAGTTACGAATAAACACAATATCGCAGAGGCTGTTAGATTTTTGGAAGCCTTGACTCAACTCTTAGATTTGGGTTTCCCAGAAGACAAAGTCTCAGAAGCACTGGTGATGTTTCACAATGATAGAGATAAAGCTTTGGACCATTTAATATCATAATTATTTACTGAAATATTCTCATCGACCAAAGGATGTTTGAATCAATGAAATATTCATACAGTTTTGTAAATTTGGAGGTAAAGAGAGGTCATAATTTGGCTTAACTGCAGTTGTAATACTTTTTATAGATGCTAGGGCTTAATGCTATGTATCAAGTGATTACTGTTAAATATATACCCATAGTTCATTAAGACAATTATGAAAATAATTTAATGACCAGTAAGTGTTATATTATCTGTGATATTTATTTGCATTACGAGGAATATTTCATGAGCATTTACCTTCAATCGCGTGAATTGGTACTTGTCAGTAGTAAGTTAACCATGATGTAAATTATTTCAGTAAATTCGTTGTCACATTTTATTTTCTCTGGTTACGTGTAGACGGTACTTATTTATTCAAAAGGGGATTGAACTCTGCTGAGGATTTTTGTGTATTCATTCTCGATCTGTTTTTACTTTTTATAGATCTGCAATTCTCCTGTTTTCTTTTAACTGTTTAATTTTTCTCTTTGAGTTCTTTATTGTTTCTTCAAAAGTAAATATTTTTCAAGGATATAATACATTTTGTATTCTGAAAGAGTGATGAGAATGGGGATACTATATGAAATCTTGCAGTAGAAAGAAACAGGCTCTTAAATGTTGCTCTTTGATACTGCATTTTGCTTTCTCTTGTACATTTTGTTGGGATTGAGTTTAAATCCATTAAATGTAAACTCTCCACTGAGATATTTTGTCAATTGTTATGTCAGTTAATATATAATTGAACAATGTTAATAATAAAAGTAACATTTTTCAAGTTTTGTATTGAGAAATTGCTGCTACAACAATGACCTCAAGCCATACACTTCAGTTTTTTGGGTAGTACATTTCTTCTTTGCATTTTACTCATTTGTTTTCTTTTATTTTGCTATTTTCTATTTACTAAGTGTCAGCCTTCATTTTTTTTTTAATATTTACCTTGTGCATTTGGTATTTTGCATTTCAAATTTACAATGGACATCCTGAATCAGTTATAGTATATGAGAGCACGAAAGTTTTAATTTCAATACATCAATACATTTTTGCTTAATAACAGTTCCCATAATGTATTTTATATTTATATTGAATATAAAAATGTGAAATATATGAAATATGCATTTCATACAAAGATTTCAAATTATTATTAACTCTGATTTATACATTCTCATTCTATAGGTACTTATACAAGAAGTATGGTATAAGCAAAAAGTTGGTAACTTTTTTCTTTTTTATTTGAAATCTGGAGAGTTTTGTGGACATGGACACAAGTTCTTATCTTTGTAAGTAAGATGTCAATAGTATTGTAAATTGAAGCAATCTTAGAAAAGCAAGTATTGAGGAAGGAAAAGTATTAGTAATTGTGACTTTTCATTTATTCTCCTCCACAACACTGTAGGTATTGTTTGTAATCACAATATGTAAGGTAGACTGTAAGTGAAAAAATTGTGAAAGGAATGTTCCATGAAAATCAGTATTTTTAATTTATCATTTCTTTCCCGTACTCTCCACATCTTGAAATATTTCAAATTTTGTTATAATTTTCTTTATATTGTACTTTTACCTAAAAGGAGAACGTCTTTGGTTGATTTCTGGAGTATTGGATGTTTTGTAATCAAACGTAAATGTAATTGAAGGTGTAAGAATTGTTATATTTTGATAATGCATGAAATATAATTGCCGAGACTGTTCTGTTAGTTTTGAGGTTTAAAATGAATTCCATTAATTCTGGTTAACTTATTGTTTAAAAATAAATTTGAAATTTTATAGTATTTTGGAATATTCTTAAGTTGCAAAATGAAACTTTTATGTATTTTGTGAATGTATTTGTGTATTATGACATTGTAAAATATATAAATATATAAGGAAGTACTTGTGTTGTGGTGCTGCAAAAAAACATAAGGCTTGTATTTTCTTACATGAATTGTGTACATTTTAATACATGTAATAAAGTGTTAAGTTATTCAAAGACCAAAGATTCATTCTAATTTTATTCTAAAATAGGTTTAATTTCTTGTATTCCAGGTTCAAGTGCGACTCTTCCCTGTGTTTTCATAGGAGGATTTATCTACGGATTAAAGAGTGTTACAATGCTCTGGTTATCCTGCCCTGATCACTCCCCAACCGCCACCCTTGTTGATTCCCCCATCAATCTCTGACCAACTCATTATTGGTTGTTGTACTCTTGTGTGCCAGCCAAACTCTTTGTGCATTGCCTGCCAACAATGCTTCCACATAGATGCATTTTTGCACCCTTTCTAGTAACAAAAAGTAAGGAGAATCACTTGGCAGGTTGGAACCCCCCTAATTGGTTTTAACTATTACTGAAACTTGCAAAATACATTTCAACACACATTAAGTTAAACAATATAATGATAAATGTAATTGAAGTCGTGGGCTTCAATGGCCAGTCATGTGCGTGATCCTGGCTGTCCGGGTGACGCAGGATCCGCGTCGTAGGCTGTGTTGCCGAGGTTTCGACCATCTTGTCGTGGTCTTTCTCAGGGCTGGTATGCCCGCCCTGCCGCATATCAGCCCTGAGGAAGACCACGACAAGATGGTCGAAACGTCGGCAACACATCCTTCGACGCGGCGTCACCCGGACAGCCAAGATCAAGCAGATAACTGTAATTGTGTACACACACATTGGTCAGATGGGATGAAATATTGTAACACATTGCACATTTGTCATTTAGTTTTAAGTTAAGTAACTTATATAAACAAGTTGATGGTTTTAATTTTCTCACAAAGTTGAAGCTTTTTTTGCTTTGAATCATTTTTAAAATGAGACTTTAGGATAAAAAAACTAAAAACTCCTAATTCATTTGCTGCCCTCATGATTTTTACTGGATGAATACAAAGATGTGATTGTTAATTACTATCCACATAAGGCAATACTGTCAGGGCTGGGTTTCCAATTTAGGCGCTCAGGCTCCACAAGCTGCTTTCTTATCTACTAAACTACCTGGTTGGCTATATAAAAATGTCTGACACATAAAAAAAAGGAAGTTAAATATTTGTACTTATCGGAATTTCAGAGGTTTTAATGAACATCTGACCTGTATTATCATTAAGCAAACTTTACTCTCTCTGGAGAAAAAAATTAAAGGAAATATTTGAAGATATAATTGAAAGAATTGGGTTCATAAATTTTATTAAAGTATATTTTATTTTTCCACAGATTTCCATAATATTTTTTCAGGAACGAAATTTCTTCAGTAATGAAGTAAATCAATATTTCTCCTCTTTTAATAATTTACTTTAACTATTTACTGTATTTTACTGCCTCATATTAGGCCTGCCATTGAAGTAAATCTTAATTCCTTTTATAATATTTACAATATTTTCTTATTTAATAGGATGGCTAGCTCTGGTTTTCATTTAATCTCTGGGCATCAGTATATTTATGCTTCTCGGGGTACTACTCTTGTCTCCGTGGGCCTGAAAATACCATATGAGCATATGAGTATTCGGGCAGTGAATAATTTATTTATTGCTAGGAAATGTTTGTCACTGCAGTTACTGATAAATTGAACAATTTACAAATTTTGTTTATGAATTGCCAGTGACCTTAAATGTTAGCTATCACAATTAACGCATTTCAAATTCCTTTTTAATTAAATTTACTATTCAACAATGTCCATTTATATGTTTCTGCTGTTTCTGTTTGATGGCCACTGAATTTCTACAAACAAAACACATGTAACAATTCTTTCTCAATCTAAATGTTAACTTATACCTAACCATAACTTGGCCTTGCTATAATATTTTCATGAATGTCTTTCTATTACTTATTGCTTCAACTTCCCTTTTGAAGAATTTACAACAATCTTGGTGTTATCAGTGGTGTCAGTGACTGTTCCATAATTCCATCTGGAGCACTTCTTACGACCACACTGAATTTTAAGTATTACAGTCTTTTCTCCAATAAATTACTTCCCTATTCTCTTATTATACGTGGACCACATGTCCATTTTCTATCTCCACAGACTACATAAACATTTCAATTTATGCCCTGACAGCCAACAATGCTTCCTCCAGCATAGTTCGACCAAAATTCTTCGCATACACTTTCTATCTGGCCTAACCAGTTCACTTGTTTAATTGTTTTCTTCATTGATGCGCTCTTGTCACACCGTAACTATGCCCCGCAAGCATCTTTTGTCCGCTGTCAACAGTGTTCTACAATATTTATCTGCTCTTAAATTTCCCCAAATTTACTTTATCTAATTAATATTTGGATTTTGTGCCGCCTCATATTCTCAATGCCAGTTTCATTTGTGTCATCATGCAATTCCTTATATTTCACTAGGTAGTTGACATTAAAGTTTTGTTTACAAATGCCAAAAATCCCTTTAGATAAAATCCCCTTTGCTTCAGTAAATTACAAATTGATTATTATGAAACTATTTATTATCACAAGTATGAAATGACATTTCAGAAGACATCGTTTTTTTCCTCCTTCAGATAAAAACATTGTAAAAAAAAGTTATGACTTGCATTTTAGTAACAAACAAAAACAAAACAATCGTTAAACAAACACGAATATGAATCTTTCTACCATATAATTAGCACAACAAACAAGCAGAAAATGGGCTCACCAAGGAAGCTATAAACAATAAATTAACAATAATAGAGTGGAAATGTCTTTCTTATGAAAATATAAAAATTAGTTTACTTCATGTTTCTGGCATCAACACCTATGCCATCTTTATAAATGTATTTCACTTTATTCTTAAAAGAAATTTAAAGAACAAATTTAGAGTACATTTGAGAATGTTTCGAAAATGTCCCAGGAGTTTCATGTAAAGAACCTCCAAAATTCAAAGAAATATGTGAATCACAAAGAGACGTTTTGAGGAGCAGAAGAAAAAAAGAGAGAAGCATGTATGTATGTATATGACAAAGTAAAAAAGAAAAAGGATAAGATGAACCCCTTTGAATGAGAGTAACAAAATGAATCAAACCTACGTTTTATCTTAGATTATATTTTCATAACTGAGTGGTGAAAATAAATTATTCTCAATATTTTCATTCATGGTATTATGAAGTTATATAGTATTTAAACTTTTTGAAATTAGCCTAGGAAATGCCTTGAGGCCTCAATACTGTGATAGGCCCCAAGATAAGTTAATGCCATAAAATTTAGTTTTGTGGGAGATTCTTTAATATTATTCACATGTTCTCTCATTGTAGTTGCTAATTTTCTTTTGGTTCAACCTATATATTTCTTAACACAAATCCTAACTATTTAACAACCCCCTCACGTCCAGCTTAGGGATTTTAAATTTTCACATTTAGTGCCATTAGGCCTGAGCCGAGACCCATCTGGGGGATCATGAGGCCACTGGCAGACTCAGCACGTGTAGAAATTCTAGCAGCTCTATTTCATAACATTAAGTAACTGTAGTGACAGCAGCTCGTATTGTCTTCGGGAGAAACAAAACTTACTTGAAGTGTGTTCTGCTGGGTCTATGCCCACCAATGTAGTCAGTGTACTTCATATAATTTATATTGTTCACAGAACATTGTACCAGATTTGACTTTGCATAAAGCCAGTAATGTAACGAAATGAGTGCAGGCCTGCCTGCAAAACTTTTATCCAGGCCCCCTTTATAAATACGTAGAGCAAATAAAGTAGTGTTACCGCTATTCAAGCAAAATATTTCCGGCTATTTTTGAGAAAATTTCAAAATGTCCTAGAGGCTTCATGTGAAGAATCCTCAAAATTAAAATGGGTTTCAAATGCAAGGGGCCATAACATCTGCCATATAAATTGAGGAATATTCATTTTGGTGAAATAGATTAAAGAATTAGTTTTGTTCACAGTCAGGTATTTGGGGAATAATTACACTAGCCTTCTATGGCAAAAAACATCTTAGAGCCAAAATAGTAATAAAAAATTCAATAATTGAAAAAGTTACCACTTTTAAATATCTCAGAAATTCAATTGAATTGAATTGGAAAGCTTCAGAAGAATAAATACAAAAAAGTAATAGAAGCAATGGAATAAAGACATTCTGGACATATGAGAAAAAAAAAATGATGAAAGTCCATATTATTACGTCAAAACCAATGCTAAAATATGGTTCAGAAATGTGGATAATGGGCATAAAGAAAACCAGAAGCATAGAAGTAGCTCAGATGGAAGTTTCTCAGGGCAGTGTTAGGAGTAACAAGAAGAGACAAAATTCAAAAGGAAACAATTAGTAAAGAATCAAAAACAGGAAACTTAGCAGATAAAATAAAAAATTAGCAAAGGAAAAAAAAAACATGTGAGAAGAACGGACAAACAATGTCTGCTACGGATGGCATTAAACAGTAGCCCGAATGGCAAGAGCGATAAAGGCAAACTGACAAAAAGATGGCACCGGCAGAAACACTCCTCCACACGAAGGAATACTGCTTTACTACCCACTAACAGGACAGGAGCACCGCTCCTGAAACGAGGGTGTTGATCACCATGATGATGATAATGATGATGATGATGATGATTACTTTTGCAATATCAAGGATCCATAAAATGTGAATTCTGACTACACTCTGTTTATGGAATAGTAATTTACTACTTTCAGGAGCAGAAAAATCCACTTTCTCAGTATCAGGAACCCCCAAAACATTTTCTTGTGTCCAAAATTGGCTCTTTTTCCTGTACCATTACATAACTTTCTCTAACAATGAAGTAAACTAGAAAGTGAATGAGTAAATAAAAAATACATAAATAAATAATTAAGAATTTAATGAACTATTTTCCAATACAGAAGTCTTTAAAAATAACATCAAGTATTTGTTCAGCATTAACATGACCTGTAATTTTACCAATGTGTCTTAAAGCATTTCTTAATTTTTGAGCAGCAAGAACCAAGTCACCGTTGTTATTGTATATGCTGAAATAATCATTAATAGATGTTAAACAAAATGAAAGATGATGGCGATGACGAGCTTGAGTAAAATTAGGTCTCTCTCGGGTGGGATTTCCACATCTGCAATCAAACATAATTAGATATTTAATCATAGTAATTAATAACAGGAGACATGCAATATAAAAATATTTTAATGTGTCTTGTAATACTTACAAATCTTTTAAATGAGATTCCAGTTTGGTCTGAAGTGTACTCATTCCTTCCTTAGTCTTACAAGAAATATTAACAACATTGTGATAATTAACAGCTACCTCATTTATCACGGTATGATTGTCAACTAAGTCATATTTATTTAATATTACAAGACAAGATTTGAAATTCTGATGATAATGTGCCTCTTCTTTTATACTTTTAGAAACTTTGTTCTTTTTCACTAATACATCTTTCACCAAAATATCTGCAAAATCTTGCATTCTAAGAGAAACTAAATAATTATGAATGAAATTTTCAAAATTAATTTTATTTTGGTCCATCTTATGTACACAGTCTGCACCATCTATTACAAATAGAATTAGATCTGAAGACTTGGCAGCAGATTTAGCTCTTGTCATCCCTTCAATTTCAACTTCATCTTTAGTTTCACTTCGAAGGCCAGCTGTATCTGCCAAAAGAACAGGATAACCACCAATATTCATATGAAGTTCTACAATGTCTCGAGTAGTTCCTGCAATTGGAGTAACAATTGCTGCTGGACGATTACCTAGAGTAAACAAGAAAGTAAAAATAAGTAAAAGACATACGAGGAGTGGGGAATCTTATAATTATACTTGGGAGTCACCCAGAGAAGGTTCTATATGTCATAATACATTTTTATTAGAGTAGTTAACTAACAAACATTTGTATGTGAATTATTATGTATATTTCTATTTTTTCCTCAATTTATCCAGCAATTCAGGGAGTGAAAAAATAGAGGCAGGGGTGTCTCTTAATTTTTTGATGAGTTTCATTTCGATCCAAATTGTGGTATTCAAAATACATTTATTCACTACTCCTGCCTGATAAAACTACATAGCACTTGAGGCAAAGCAAAGGACTGTCTCAGGATTTGTTCTAGAAATAACGAAAAGTGGGCTTGAGCTCCAACCAAAAAGGGAGTGTCATTGTTCCACAAGCTAGTCCAAATTAAAATTCTTTAAAGGGTGATATTTTTTACACACTATTATCATAGTTAATAAAATGAAACCAAAGATTACTTGATTTACAAATGATCAATTCAATGAATGCAATTTCATATTTTATTTACATTACAGTAAAATTAAATCATCTTTTGTTGAGTACTCGAGAAAATTACAAATTGCATTCAAATAGGTGGTAGATAAGACTACTTGGTTTTTAATCTGGTGTAACCATTTCAAATTTTTAACATCACACAAATTATAGTTTGCAGTATGCTGTTAAAGCTGAGACTGATAATTACTCTATTATTTCTAAAGCTCATGAGATTTTTATACCTTCAGATGCTGGTTATTAGCTAAACAAATTCTTTAACATTTCACTCACTTAAGGTAGCATAATTTTATTAACTTACATAAAATATTAAGTAAACTACTTTTCCCCACGTTCGGCTCTCCAATGATGACAGTTCGAACTCCTTCTCTCAATCGTTCTCCACATTTACTCTGATGCACATGTTCCTAAAACAACGAGGTAACAGTAACAGGAGAATTTCATTAAATATAAGCATATACATTCCACATAATGTTTAGTAGCACTGTGAAATATTGAATGCACGGCATTAATAACAAACTTCTTTCCCCCTCATGAACGTTGCTTTGCAAACATTTTAAAAGTGAAAATAGCCAATTCTGGAACCCAATTTTGAATATTTGCTACAACTCTTGCTATAGAGTTGGGAAAACCTTCAAAAATATAATAAAATGTTGAAAAATATATCATTTTTTAGACTACTGCATAAGAAACAACTTGGGTCTCTTCTGGGACTTAAAACCAAATATTAAGATGTATTCGTAGGCTTCCATGGCCGGAGTCTTTGGATACTTGGCTGACCAGGGTGCTGTAACAGTATAGCTCTGAAGAAGCCCACAACACAATGTCTGAAACATCAGCTCGTTTGACTGAGATGCTGTTCACCCCGGACAGCCAAATATCCCCTAATATTAAAGACCTAGGATAGTTTCCAAGATATGCATGATGGTAATGTGTAACAGAGCAAAACATGTTACAGGTTGGTGAGTTTCCAGTTTGTCTTCAATGTGTTACATAAAGGACTGAGAAGTGATTTCATAACCCTTAGAAACACTTGCATCAATAGTTTCAGGGTACAAAACCATCTTTCCTTAGCTTATTATTGAATATATAGAAGGGAATATTATTTTATAAAGTCAGCTCATTTGTTTGATTTTCTGTAATGTAAGCACCAATGATTTGTGAAAAAAGAAGACAACCCAAATTGAACTTTTATGTGTGTGTGTGGGAGAGAGAGTACCAGTTAAATTTTTTTCTAAACATGATTATTGGAAGAATATATTTTTGATCTTTTTTTTCTCATGTGAAATCAAGGCCCTGTAGAGATGTTACAGAGACAAATTATGAGCTATACTCGGTACAAGGTCAATATCTTTGTTGCAAAAAAAAAGAGGCAAAAATGTTCTTTATAGGCAGTATAAATATAAATATTAAAATAACTTTTTCACATACTTTTGATTTTAAACTACCTATTTTCTTAAAAACATGAATATAAAATATGACAACAAACATGGAAATGTACACACTAAAACACCAATGACTGGTTTGTCTCAGAAATATTTTTTATACAGAATACACTTCTGACTGGATTGCTGTTTGAATGGTGCATTGCTTGTTTTCCTTTTTGATGAGAGAAAGAAGTCTGTGATATTATTTAACACAGATTTCAACTTCAATCAGATATTCTGCTCAGGAATGCTTTCAGGTTCATTCTCCATGGCTTCAATTATAACAAACATACTTTTTAGGCACCATACAATATTATTCCTTGATAGCTAGTCATGAAATGTGATCAAAACTAATTTTGTGTAAACTAAAAAAGGGTAAAATAAATTTTTGCCTAAACTCCAGTCTATTCATGACTTTAAAACTGGTTACCTACTTTTTTTTAAGGTATAGTTAGTGTGGGGATAATTATGAGATGTTGATTAAAGATTATTACCTGAATTTCTTTCTCTAATTCATTTAAAATATTATTAACTAGAACCATGATATTATCTTCAATATTTTCATCTTCACTGAAGTCAATAAATGCTTCCAAATGGGCAACACACTGAAAATATAATTTTTATTTACTCCAAATGTCCTTCATGTCAGAAATTGTTATTGCAACTTCAATTTACTTTTATGAGGGTTTGTCTCCATGAATTATACAAATTACTAAGTGATCCCTCCATTTGCAAATATGCTTGTTTGCGTTGAGCTTCTGTCTCAGCTGACAGTAAGTCTCCAAGACCCTCAACTTCAGTTAAGTCCAATTTCCCGAAGTCAAAGGCACGTCTTGTAAATTCTCCTACACAGCATATAAAGAGTTGTTAATTCAAAACTATGTGAAAAAGAAACAATTCAAATATCTTATACATTTTTTTTTCGTATCTTAATTCAACACTTGCCAGGCTCAGCAGGTTGAAAACTTGGCAATTTACTTAATGCCAAAAGAATGCTGGAAATTACAGCTTGCCCACCATGTACATGTAATTCGCATATATCTTCACCAGTAAAACTCTTGGGACCTAATGAATAAAAGTTGTTTTTTTTTAATTGATTTTAATTCAAGACTATATTCTTCAATAAATAGGGACTCAGATTTTCACCTGGGAACCACATCAACAATCCTTTATCTAAAATCTCTTTTGTCTCAGGATCTCTCAATTTACATAATTTGGCAAATCTAGGTTGAGGCAATATGTTCATTCCGCCAATATTAAAAATAACTTCAGATGCTTTTGGTCCCGAAACTCTAATAACCGCTACGCCGCATTTCCCATAACCTAATTCAAGCATAAGGAAAATAAATATCATTATCAAAATATAATAACGTTATGGAGCACGCAAAAAATATTTCACCTGAAGATAATGCATAAATTGTCGATTTATGGGCAACTCTACAGTGAGTACTGTACAGTGAAGACAGCCACGGTAAGTTAAAAAATCGTGTTGTTTGAAATCCTATCATTTTGTGTTCTCTTGGTTTTCTTTCACTGCACACGCGAAGCTTTCAGGGAGGGAAATATTCAGTAAAATAAAGCGTTCCCTTTCCAGTATTACAATACTATGTAATGTGATTAAATTTCAGCCCCGGTCTTTTGACAACAGTTTTATTTACATTTTAGTAAACACCATGGTGGAAATAACAATGAGTCGCGCTGCGCATGCCGCTGTTTGAGGACTGCTGTGGACGAATAAGATTTTGGCCTGGTAGCGCCAAATTCAATTTATCTACCGCTCATGCCGAAACATTTGAAAGTTACATTTAAAGTAATTTGATATGCAATTATACATAACCGTTTAATTTAAAAATGACCATAAAAATTAGAAAACTGTAATATTAACGAATTTGTTTGCAGTTTAAATATTTTCAAAATTCTACAAAATAAGCGAACAAGTAAAATTAAATTAAAAAGAAAACTCACTAAAAATTTAACCCATAGAATCACTATAAAATACATCAGATGTTTCTTAAAATAAAAGGAAGTTTTAATATTAATTCTATATTGGCACTAATTGCTGATTTATTACACTTGTTTGAATATTTCAAGTTTATATAAAAATAAAGTTTATGAAGAAATATAATCAAATTGAAAATAAACTAAATATTAATTGGTATTAAACAGTTACTTATAACTTCCAATTGCTGGTTTGTTATAATTCATAGCCACTGAATAGTCTCAAAAGTGTACATTTAGTTGGTTTTATGATTAGGCATTGGAAAATTAAAAATCAGAACAGATTTGTAACGAATAGTTCTACGAATCTTTGCAGGTGCCATTGAATAAGGCAACTTGAGTAGTAACTTTATCTACTTTAGAAAGATATTTAAAAATATTAAAAGCATATCAGCAGTTAAGCGATTGGCACCTCACACTAGATTTTGATAAAATGTTCCAGAAGAAGATAAAGACTTTTAGTTCATTTCAGTTCAAGTTTCAGTTCATTCTTCAAAATTTAAATTGCTTATATTATTGCTAGTCTGTTTTTTGTTGGCAAATAGGTTGTGGCCTTGTAGAGGCAAGAAAGAAGAATAATTTTTCCATAAAATTTTAATTGACTTTCTCCTATTTTGCTACTTTTTCCTAATAATTTCTAATTTAATAAAATACATCTTCTCATTTATTTAATTTTTCTTTTATTTCTACATCACTTTTTTCAGCATTCTATGAGCCTAATGTTGAAAAGGAGAAACACGTAGGGAAATAAAATTATTTACTGTTTTAAATTTAGCAGGATGATTTTCTTTATTGGTTATTATCTTTGTTCTGATTAGATATTTTCATTTTACAGTAGGTAGGCCTCACGTCCGATTAACATTACATGACTTCTCTGCAGATTTTGTTTGCTCTTCTGAATGAGAGCTTGGTAATCTACACAATAGTAAGATGATATGTGTTCTATGGCCAATTGAAATTTGTAGATCAACTCCCAAGTCATGGCTTGAAGTCATGCCCAAGCCCTATGATTCTCCCGCTTTCGTAGGCGCGAGAAAAATAACACGTGCGCCCGCCATTGTGGCTTTGTCACCAGGTTCGAACGTGATTACGTTCGTAGATGCTACTGCACATCCTCGGGAGCGCAAAACCTTGTAATTTTTACCATACTATACCCAAAGAGTACTAAAGCGCTCTTTGGTTACATTATCCAATACCTTGATAATACTATCCAATGTCTTTGGTTACGCGGTGGCGTAGCCCAAAGACATGGTAACTTTTTCACGTCTTAGCGGGCAGCAATCTGCATTTCTGAGCCTCTCCGCATGCGCCAACTCGAAATCGAACTCGAAGTATTAGCGGGTCCCGCAATTCCGGCTGGATTGAGGAAATCGTTAGGGAGTTTGTGCTATTTGGAACGTTAAAGCACTCTCGATTTTCTGCGCATATGCAGTTCAAGTTTCCCTCCACTTTAGTGCAACTGTGCGTGCGTAGAAGATCGATAGTGCTGACACTATGGCGTGCACAATCTCCCTATTTCCACCATGCGCCGGATTTAGGGGGCGACTTACGTCGCATGGTAATCGATCAATCAGTCATGCTATTTGGAATTTGTTCCCGACTGTTGCTGCAGTGTGCTTCTAACTCTATTTCCATAATGCTATACGCGGTAATAACCGTATATTTCCGTAAACACTAATTTGCATAAAGTTAGATTGTATAATCATTTTTGTATTGGTATAGTAAATATTTGCAAAATTCACGTTATCTAAAATAATTTTCAAGGAAAAATTAAGTACTGATTCAATTACTGATGTTTATAGTGATTATTTATCCTTATGGCATGTTCGAAGCAAACCAACTTAATAATTATTGTAGACAAGGCAGCTTACCTCTATAATCATCGCCACAGCCAGGATATCAAACTGAGCAATTATTTATTCTCTACGTGAATATTTTTTACTTCTCTCACTTTCTACAATTCTCCTTCTTAGCACATTCATTCAAGGGCTTTCCGTCAAATCACGACGCATCGATGAAAATGCAAAGCAAAATATAAAATAACAATACATTTCCAAAGCCAACCACAATTGAATTCGCTTGCAGAATGAAAACTTGGGAATAAGTACACGCTAGCATCAACCCTTGTCGCGGGCTCCACACAGCTATTTGCCGCATGTTGCAGGGGGAATTGAGTGAGGTTGACATATCTCCCTTCATCAATCATGCCATCCAGCGAAAAAAAGACCTATGGACCTCATTTATTGCATTTATACGGGGGAGGGGGTTAAGTGTTAGGTAATTTTGAAGGGGTAGTTCAATTGTACGTAATGGGTGCGTTACAGGGGGAAGAGGGGATATTCAAAATACTCCAAATTTGCGTTGCGTCATTTATGGACGGCTTCCTATTCATCAAGGAGATTGTAATATAACCTTCTATTTATCCATGTCTCAAGCATAGAGGAGAGATACAACTAGAGAGATATCTCTACTCTATGGCCTCAAGCTTGACAGAACACGTGTTGGGAACAGAGAGATTGCATAAAGAGTTTGTTTACTCGGTTTAAAATACTGGCACACGTGACACCAAATGCGTATTTGTATGTCTGGCATGCATGCACGGCATGTTGGGGTGCAGGATTTTTAGGTTATATTCGTTGTTCACGGAAGTAGGTTTTCCGAGTGACAGCGCTGTTGAAGAAGCGAGAAATTGTGCATCAGGAATTTGTGGAAATTATTGAATTTCTGTTGGAAAACTGATTCAAGAGTTTGTTTGCTCACATCATTTTTTATCAAGAGTTTTAGGTCAGGATACATGACGTTTTGGTGTGACTGAAATTTTTGTGTTATTTTGAGTAGTTGTGAAGATAGTTAATATAAAAAAATGGATGAAGATTTGGAGGGATTTGGAACTTTAGTAACCAAAAATAAGACAACGAATTCTAAAAAAAGTAAGAAAAAAGGTGGTGGTTTTCAATCTATGGGTCTTAGTTTTCCTGTCCTGAAAGGCGTTCAAAAAAGAGGGTACAAGGTTCCCACTCCTATTCAGAGAAAAGTTAGTATGCCTATAAAATGTACCTTTTTATCAATATGTTTTAGCATCATATTTTAGATTTCATTCATTCACAATTAATAATCTTTATTTGCAGACCATACCTATTGTATTAGATGGTCGTGATATTGTTGCAATGGCTCGAACAGGAAGTGGTAAAACAGCATGTTTCCTCCTACCAATGTTTGAAAAGCTCCTGAATTCTGTTAAGAAACCTGGTGCAAGAAGTTTAATTTTATCACCTACAAGAGAATTGGCTTTGCAAGTAAGATATTTTAATTTTTGGCATTTCACAACTATGAGATATGATTACCCATAACATTATTTGTTCTAGACCCTAAAATTTATCAAGGAAATTGGTAAATTTACCGATTTAAAGCCAGCTGTAGTATTAGGAGGTGATGCAATGGACAGTCAATTTGCTGCCCTTCATGGAAATCCTGATATCATAGTTGCTACTCCTGGCCGTCTCTTGCATGTTTGTGTTGAAATGGAGCTGAAACTTCAGTATGTGCAGTATGTGGTGTTTGATGAAGCAGACAGGTATATTGTGTGCAAACAGTGTGTTGGTAATTTTAATTATGGAAAATTTAACGGCATGTTCTCTTCTTTCAAATATATTTACATATAGATTGTTTGAAATGGGATTTGGTGAACAACTTCAAGAGCTGTTGAAGCGATTACCTGAAGCTCGTCAGACACTCTTATTTTCAGCCACCTTACCCAAGATGTTAGTTGAATTTGCAAGAGCTGGCTTAAATGAACCTGCATTAATTAGGTAAGTACTATACCTATATCTGAATGCTAAATGTTTGATTGAACATTATTCAGGGTAGCCTCTTGTGTAAAACATGAAAAAACGGAAAATTAGGAAATTTCATTGCTTTGGAAAGGTCAGAGAAAAATTGGGGAATTTGTTGAAGAATCATTAGAAGTCAGAGAAATGTTCAGTGACTTATAAAACTAGGTATTATTCCTTGAAAAAAATTGCACAACAATTTTTTTTCTTAATTTCTTTTTTCTTGAGAAAATATTGTTTATTTGTACTTTGTCACAGTGAAATCGGAGAGCTGGCTGGTTAGTATCAGGTGGACTTCTTATTTTTTTTTACAAATATTGTGAAAATAAAAAATCTTATTTGAAGAAAATGTACTGGGAATAGTTGGGAAATTTGTCCAAGGAAATGAGTGGCCAACTCGTTGTTGTTTATGTATACATTTGTGTTTTACAAGCTTGCCATGATATAGACTTCACATTTTACTAGAAGAAATTGTTCTTTCTGTCTCATTTTAAAGCAGTATCTCTCAAGTACACTCACACACTCTACAGCAGGTTTATTTGTAAACACTAATGTTTCTGTTTTAGATTAGATGTTGAATCCAAAATACCAGAGAAATTGGAACTGGTTTTTCTGTGTTGTCGCACTGATGAGAAAATTGCAGCTTTATTATCTCTATTAAAACACGTTATTCCTTCCAATTCTCAGACAGTGGTATTTGCTGCTACAAAACATCATGTTGAATATTTAAAAATGGTATGGATGCTTGCTCTCAGTATATTTATTGACGTTGAATTTTTGGATTGATGCCCATTGTGTTTTACAGGTATTGGACCTTGCAGATATATCCAATTGTTGTATCTATTCAACAATGGATGCATCTGCTAGAAAAATTAATGCAGCAAAATTTCAAGTTGGCAAAGCTTCTGTATTAATAGTTACAGATATAGCTGCAAGAGGATTAGACATACCACAACTGGACTGCGTGATAAATTTCAACTTTCCTGCAAAACCAAAATTGTTTGTTCATCGTGTTGGTTAGTACGATTTATTTGTCTTCTGTTTGATTTATAAATCTAACTAGATTAGCTGTATTGCTGGTATTGTAGTAGTATTTAGTTGTTTAAACTTTCAATTTTTCAGGGAGATGTGCTAGAGCAGGACGTGCAGGTACTGCCTACTCACTTGTGAGTAGTGAGGAATTTCCCTATTTATTAGATCTGCATCTCTTTTTGGGGCGGCCGCTTCAAATTGGTGAAGAAAGTAGTACAATTGGCAGTATTCCTTCACCTGTAGTGGAGGAGGAGCAAATTGAATTGTTGAACTGGCTCACAGATTCATCTGATTTGGTAAGTGGATTTTGTAAAAACATTTTAAAGAGAAGTGTAGTTTTTTTGTTGTTATTTTTGGAAATGCATCCATTTAGTTAAACTAGTGGTGCTTAAATAGCATGTACTTTCTCCTCTGTATTTTCACGCACAATTGGATGAAAAGTACTCAAATTTAAAAAAAAAATTATTCATGACATTATTTCAAAATTTGTCTTTAAGGAACAGATTTCGTTAAGGGGGAAATCTCTAATTTTTAATATTTTTGTTGTAGGAAGACTCCAAAATGGTTTTGAACTTTGCAATTTTCGAAAAATCAGAGTTTTCAACAGACATGAAACCTGCACCATTCTTTTAAATGCCCTTCACACTATCCAGCCACAAAATTTAGTTAAAACAATGGAGCCTTTTTATAATTATTTTTTTTATTTTTGAAAAATGTCTCAGAGGCTTCATGTAAAGTACCTCCCAAAATTGAAATATAGGTTTCAAATTCAAGGGGGTTGCGACCACAGCTAGATCGATTGTGCAATATCAATTTTGGAGAAAATTGGCTGAACAGTTTAGCCGCTAGCATTGTTTGCAGACAGCCTTTTGCCATCATTCGATTTTGTGGTATCAAGGCCTCACAAAACGGATTCTGGCTACACCACGTGATAAAAGATTATATTTTTCTAAATGTAGCAACTGGATATCTAATCTTAGTTACATCCTTTACAATTTTTTATCGTGTATTGTGTGCTTATGAAAATGGCCATACTTCCATCATACCTGCCACCTTGCGTCCTTCTCAAACTAACCTTCTGTCCTAATGTGTAAATGTCAAATGATGAGAATTGGGATCAATATCACCCTTGTACTTTACATATTGCTATCTATTTTATTAACTTCCGATGCACACAGAAATTGAAAGAAAACTATGGAGGCTTTTACCTTGTGATAGTTGCCAGTAGTTTCATTGACTATCCAGGAACTTGGAAAAAAAAAAAAAAAAAAAAAAAACAACATAATTAAAATGTGATTTTGACTGAAAAATGCAAAATTTGATTAAGTAAATAGAGCTATTCTCACCCTTCATATACCGACTGAACTCTCATACTCATTGTGGCACAGCTGACTTCACACAGGTGTAGGGCTCTGAGGAAGAGGCCACCTGCCGTTAATTATTTGCTAATCACAGGTGTTATAGAACAGCAACTGTTTTTATATTCTTAATTTGTAAAGAACTTGTTCTGTATATTTACTGGTCTATATATTATTTCAGTAATGGTGAAGACTGTTTTTATTAAAATATTTAATTTATTGCAGTTATATAAGAGTCTTTTATTTGTTGTTCTTTAGTGGAGTGCTTGCTACATTTTTTTGGGAAATAATTTTGTTCAGCAACATTTGTGCTGCTGCGAGCCAGTAGTTTTTGTTGTAAAAGCCCTTCATTCAGTTTGCTATTTTTGTTATATCCCATAATTTTCTTCTATTGACTCTTATCTAAAGCAGTCATTAGATCATCATTTAATGATACAGTACCTTTTTATTTGCAGAAAGAATTGCAGAAAACGGCTAACAATGGATACAAGTCCTACTTGCGCACACGTCCTGGTGCCTCCGTTGAAAGTGTTCGTCGTGCAAAGGAGTTGGGACTTGCTCATCTTAAACCTCATCCAATATTTAATAGTGGTTATTTTGGAACGTCTGACGGAATGAAAGCTGAAATGCTAAGCAGAATTAAAAGTTATCGGCCTACTGGGGTAAGAAATTAAATGTCATGACATCAATCGTGTAACCTACCACAAAGCAAAATGTATATTTTATTAAACTCTGTTTCTAATTCTTCAAGGTCTATGTACACATCAGGTCTTTATTTAAATCCCACTGATGCATCACCAGCACTCTCACTACGCATTGGCAGGCTCTAAGTTTTGGGAAAAGAAAAGGCATTTTGTTAAGAATCAATGAAAATTACTTTTGGTTCACACTTCTGACCAGTTAATAGTCTAATAAATTGTGTAACTTTTGAAATAACACATCAGTAAACATGATATACATTTGCGTTGTTCACATTTAATATTTGTTTGATGCCACCTTTTGTACTTGATAAAATTCTAATCAAGCTGAGGTACAAACTAAGGTTTCCTGCATGTGCACTGAGCTATCATAACTCACTGAGGAACACAACTGTGTGGTTTACATCCACATGCCTTTAAAGAGGCCTAGTAAACTGGAAATTTAACAATAGTGAACATGATGCAACATGATTATACATTCCAGTGAACAAACATAGTATGATATTGCAATTCCTTCATTGTCTTGTGTATCCTGTTGAGCTTTACATCATTCTGAGCTCAGAAAAGGATGATCATTATATGTTAAATTGGACTACACATTTATTAGCACTACGGGTTATGAGTTGGATCCTTTGGATTTGTATCTCTATTTTTATAGTTTGGTGTATATGTGTTATAAAACTTCAATTTCAAACCATTGTATCAAAATGAAAAAGACTTTTTTCTCTTGCAGACAATTTTTGAAATTGGAAAAGCTCCTACCTCTGAAACTCTTGCAATTATGAGAGAAGCCAAGAAAAAACATAGTGTTGCGATTGCCACACACAAGAGAAAATTAGAAGAACAAGAACAGGAAAATCCCTTAGATACAGGTATTTATTAATCTAGAATGAAACCTCTTAGTGATAAGATAAAGAATGCTTAAAATCATTCTTTTGGATGGGTGATCTTCTTAAAGAGAAGATCATTATACTGAACTAATATACACTGTTAATGCTCTGACCACTAAGATGTACATCATAACACTATAGTGGTTTTAAGTGAAAGCTCTAGTGTATTGAATAATTAAATTACATAATAATTTTCATTTATTTATTAATGTTTGTTTGCAGAAAACAATACATTATTCATACTCCGAAAATTGTTTCTCTTCAGGTAATGCATGATTGACATTTATACCACCTTTTTCAGATGATTATTGATCAAAACACTCTTGTACTCCTATTTTGACTAAAAGACATAACAAGTTTCTAGTTATCAAGTTTACAGGCTAAGGACTGGTGTCTTGTAATAACGTACAGAGCCTTTGCAAGTTTTTTTTTTTTTTTGTTATCACATTGAAAGTTAGGCATATTATTGTGCTTCTGTGGAATGACCTTTCATTTTTTTATCGTGGAAGTTTCTTTACGATTCCTGGAAAGTCTTCACTCTGAGTTAAATGGAATCTCATCTGATAGTTGTTGCCCTACTGAGGGATGGTTTAACTTAGTTCAAAAGAACATGGTTGAACTGAGGTTTCTTAATTGAGTGTGAAGGTTTCTGGTTGTCATAAAATTACTTTTCTGCACAAATGTATGATTTTTGTGAGGAAGAAGAAGCACCATCTTTCAGGGGGTTTTAGTTATGTATTCCATAGAACACTGATTGAGAAAAGGAATGGTCTTGTTGAGAGATTTCACTATAAACTTGATTCTACAGTAATAGATGATATGTGTTATCCTTGAAGATGTAAAAGGAGTTAAATATTTAGTGATCCTGCAACATTCTCTGGATGTTTTACTCCACAATTTGTGTACTTCTTTAATTTAAATAATAGAACTTGTTTAGTCATGCAGTTTGAATGGAACTTAAAAGCTGACCTCGTTCACTCTTGAAATGTATATTTTGACAGATTATGTTGGGGCTTGTCATTGCAGAGGTCTAATTTTGATTTTTGTTACTTTTAGAATTCAAATCCTTTTTACCTAAAAAAAGTGCAAATGCTACAGAAAATAAATTGAGCTCGCCAACACTGTCACTTCATGAAAGAAAAAAAAGAAGAAAAGCTGCTGTAGATACAGAACATTTTGTGCCCTACCAGTCAGCTGATCACCACACTGAGCAAGGGTAAGAATTCACTGAAGAAAATATTTTATTTTGTTATTGTAAGTATGTTGCAGCATTTATAAACCAGATAGCATAAGTAGGCATTTGAATTTCTTTCTGTCAAATAATACTTACAAAACGTTCTATCATGTGCAATAATAAGGAAATTATTTTTTTCCTTATGTTATTCATGAGCTAAAAAATGGATCAATGTTCCTGTATGTAAAAACATTGTAATGATGTGGTGTTTTGCACACAAAGTAAGGTAAATATGCTTTGGCTTTAAAGTGTGACAATTGTCACCAAAATTTGCAAATGAGGGAAGCATTTAGAAGAATTTATCTTTCCACTTCCTTTTGTGTTTATTTACTGTCATTTTGATAATTGAAGAACAATGCTTCAAAGTTTTAATGAAATTCTATCGAGTGAATTGTGTAAATTACGGGTACTGAATTGTTACAAATCTTATTGAGCAAGGGCCATTTTGGGGTTGGAAAGGCAGGCTAGGCCACTGAACTTTCACAGCAAACTTCTTTCGCTCAGTTTTTACTTTCTCACATACTACTAACTGAATATAAATAAAACACCTTGTAATGCTTTCCAAGTCTCTGTGTAAGTTTCCTCGTTTTATCAGCAGCATCTTTATCACTGTTATCATTGCAATGGAGAAAATACATAATTGTAATAAATGTCTTGTTTCTTAGCATCTGCAGCCATCCCATTTCGCATATCTGTTCCAAAATCCCAATAACTTTCTTTGGAAGGCATATTATTACATCCTGATAAAAACAAAATGGCAGTAAAACATTGCAATTATTTGTGGATTATGACAGCCCAAAAAAACCGCATATTTGTTGGATTCCTCTACTAATAGATCAATAATAGTGCTATGTATCATCAACTCAAATAAATTAAACAGAGTCAAATTTTTACAATTACTGTAATTGGACTTTGAAAAATCATGAACAGGCTCAAAATCTCCATTTATCAAAGTTAAAAAATCCAAAATGTGAAGCCTTTCTTAATCCACTGGTTATTCGCAAAGGTACAAAATTTTCTGTTGACAACAATCAGCATAAGACACAAGGGATACACCTGACAATGGGTTAAAAGTAGAGATTGTTCAAGATGTTATTCAGGATATGATTGTAGTAGTACCTTCTATGAAAACATAAATTACTGCACTTTATAACTCATTAACATCATTATTGTATTTGTGACAATATGGTGATATTACTCCTCTAAGGGTTAAAGAGAACATAGTTAATTTCATAGCAGTTAATACTATTTGATTTGATTTACGCATCCAATAATGCTATAACATTGATTAAGCAGCCATCTCCATTATAGGCTATTTTTTGCAAGAACAATTGGAGACAACTTACGACACCTCTTCACTGTATCAGTTCATCAACTTTGTTGCAGCTACCTTGCAGGATCATAACTTCTTAAATGTTATTAGAATAACAGTATTTGTAATGTTGTTACATGAACCTATAACCAGTAATTCTTAGGTACATTATGTAAAACTTCTCAGATACAAGATGATGTGTAATTCAGAAAAAGCCCGCTGCTACATTGTCACTTGTTAAAAATGAAAGTGATTTCCAAGAAATACTTAGAATATTATAGACTAACAACATCTGTTGTCAGATTAAACACAAACAAATAAACACTACCTCAACAAAATAGTAATTTTGAAGTATTTAAAGAAAGTGTAGATGCATTAGTTTAATTTATCGCTTTCTTGAACGACACATTTTTCAGTGGTAATCAAAAAACCTAGTTTGTGTTGGGGAAAAGAATGCTTTGTCCAATCCCCTTTGTTGGAGATTTCCTTTCCAAGAAGAACATAGTAAGAAAATTATGTACTCTAGAATTAATAATTCTTTATTTATGAAATACATCTTTTATGTTTAGTACGACATATTGAAAATACCATGTGCTCTGTTATGGAAAATTATTTTTAAAAAAAATCAAAAGAGAAAAGCGTGTGTTTCAAAACAATAATATAAGAAAAATATAGAATAATCATTGGTGCAAAAGCACAAAATTAAAAAGATGTTAGTTTCAATTATCATGATACAGTAATTATAAAAGATATGTACTGGCTTCTGTAGAATATGCCATGAGCAAACAGTGCAGTAGCACTTACTGTATCTGGTTTAAAGTAGTGATTAAATGATAGTCTTTGTCAGCATAAACTTTATTTAATCAATTACTAGCTATTAGCTGTGAAGTTCTAATAGTATGCTGGCAGTCATGATGTTGGTAACATGTTCTGTTCATAATTGTACAAACTAATCATGGTGACACGGTGAATAGAATGATTATGGATATGCCCTGAAATGCTATTTGAAGAGTTTTGTTGACAGTCTTGGAAGCTGAAGTGGCAGAGAAACTTGACATTTTCCAGAAAATTCGGGTTTGATTTCTGAGGCAGAATTCTTTGAAAAGCTTAAATATCATTTAATCAGATTTTAAATATTAGCTATGAAATCAAAATAGGAGGCAGCCAAATGTGATACAGAAAACGTAATCTATACATAATTGTACAAGCTAATTGTGATAAGGCAAAAATGCTTTAAGTTGCGATTCCTAGTTTTCTTGCAAAGAGTCAGTGTACATAGAGGAAGGAGGGGATCCTTTTATCTTGTAAGTTCTGTGCTTTCTCGTTTTATTTCTGTGCCTTAACATATCGGTGAAATATATAATTGTAAATAGAAATATTCATGGCAATTTAGATAATAGTGGTGTAGAAATAGTATATTAAGCAACTAATTTGTAGTGTTATGCTTTATTGCATAAGTATGTTTTGAGAAAGAGTGATGTTAGGAGTGAGTTTTCAAATTTGAACTAATGCAATACAGCAACACTATGCAGTTCATACACTATTTCTGTGTACAATACAATTATAAATTTGTAAAAGAACCTAAATTAATTTGGGAAACAAACTTCAAAAGCAGTATTGCAATTGGCAAAATACGAATGGCATTATGACCTCATGCAGAGAAGAGAGGAAGGGCGGGCTGTGAGGATAGCCGGTGAAGACAGGGGGGAGGACGAATGCTGAGGCCTGGTGGAATGATGCATTGGGGACAGGTTGTGCTGTAACATGCCATAAAATACCCTTGTATGAATGATTTCTTGCAATGGAAACTGTTATTTATAATGCTAGTAATAAAATTTGCTTGTATCATTGCATCCTCACCGATCTCAAATTGTGATCTAGCTTGATGACATCTGTTACAGTCTTATGGTGAACAACTTCCAATCGGAAGCAGCTCAAATGCAATTTGATTTAACAGCTGATAGTGCAGATCAAATGAAACGGCAGAGGAATCAAGTGAAGTGGGATCGAAGGAAGAAAAAGTTTGTGGGTACTAACCAGGTAAGAAAAGTAATAAAATAATGATGTAATAAATTCTGATTATGATATATTTGTCATGCTGTAATTTCCATCTTTTAGGAAACCAAGAATGGTAAAATTCTAACAGAATCAGGTGTCTGGATACCTGCTTCTTATAAAACAGATAGATATGCTCAATGGAAGGAGAAGAATAGAATTGATGCTAATAATGAAAGTAGTGATGACAGTGATGATGGCGATCCAGAAACTCAACGTAGGAGAGGTAATAGAATAAATACTATAGATACAGAAATATAATTGTGTGTCTCTGTAAGAGTAACACTAATAATTACTTTTAATCCGCAGCTTTTATGAATAAGAAGTTCCCGAATACACATTGGGGTCGACATAATGAAAAATTGCAGCGTAAAATGAAATCAGAACTGAAGAGACCAGAACAAATTCTGAAAGTTCGTCAGAAGCATGAAAGAGAAGAATGGAGAATTAAAAATAAGCAGACGAAAAAAAAGAAAAAAAGTCGTAGATAAAGAACAGAAAGAAGTATATGTAAAATGTTGAACATTTTGAATTAAATTTCAAATAGAATATCTTCCTTATTATAAAGTACCTTAAAAAACATATTTCTTTTTTATGCTTTTGTTGTGTTGATAATCTCAATATTTTGGTGTAAATAAAATGGAATATGTCATCTTGGAATATGTGCTTTTATGAAATATACACTAGCAACCTAAATAGACAAAAAAACATTTATACAGTAAAACATGCTCACTGTAGAATGTGTATTATGCAGAAATCTGTCCAATGTGAAAATAATCCACAGTTCTGGCAAATGTAAATTCTATAGTATTCCATTGTATAATGCAGAAAAAAAATACTGGTTCCTTGAGATTCCGTATTGATCACGTTTTACTGCAGTTATATCAACAACTGTTTCATTCAGTGTTGTCTTGTGAATAATTTTCTGAAAACATCCATAATCACAAGCACAGTTACACAGGGAAGGAAATTTCCCTCTTTCAAATTTTACAGTCACTATTAATTTTAACTTGTCAAGAAACTTTCAAACAGAAATATTTTCGGATAATTATTAAAACGAATAAAATCGTATCGTAGCATGAGCTGAGTGTAGCTTGCGCCATTTTACAAAATCTGTAATATCAAACTTTCAGCTAAAACATTTTTAATTTCCCCTCACAAAATTTGTTTCTGGATCCTTCCCTGATAATCAAGATACAATCAAAAGTAACTTTAAGGTAATTTCAGGGAAAATATTGTACCATGGGGAAACTTCTTTGTCTTCTGTCACTGTCTTTATTATTTGCAAAAATTAATCGATGGCTTTCTTTTATGTTATTTTTTCCTGGATCTTTTTCTGTTCCTGTTTCCCTGCAAGACCCATCAGTTGTGTATATCCTTAAGGTACCATCCTTCTCTTTTCATATTCTTGAATCTTCCCCAAACTATAATGCAAACTACTTTTCCTCTTCTTGTATGCAGATATTTAATCTTTGTTACTACAGCACCATTTCCTGGAGAACATCTTCCATTTTTCTGTAGCTGCTCCTGCTAGTTGGTATAAGTAATAATGCAGATGCCAAATTAATATGAAGAAATGGCCTTGAGTGGTAAATCATTCTTCCAATTGAAAGCCATAATCTGGGAAGTAACAAAATAGAATTTATTCCTAGTGTTTTAAAACCTAAGTTCTATTATTTATGAAACTTCTGTAGGTATGTGACATTTTGTCTATTGTCAGACTTTGCCAGCTAGTTAAAGGTGTCCCCCACCTGGGCTTGGTGAATTCCTGCGCTAGAGGTGGTAAGAGAGAGGCAAACAAGACATATTCCCTTTATCATATCTACCAAACTCTGCCTGCCTGAGCTTTTCTTTGTCAACTACAGAAGTAGATAATTTTAAAGGGAAAATACAGCTACTACTAAATGTAACTTGTCAACAGGATGAAGGAACCCATTTTGAAATTTCACCACCAAAGGTACAATTTTTGATAGATTTGGAAATCATGCAATTCATTATATTTTTGGACTCATCATGATATAAAAACAAGAAAAACAATTGGATTTTTTTGGAACAATTTTTTCTCTAAAAATATTTTAATGATTTTAATAAAATTTCCGCTATTGCTGTATTAAAAAATTGCAAGCTAAGATTATACATACATTTTGTGTATAATATGTTAACACTACTGATGTCAAGCAACAGAAAAATTGCACAACAAAACTTTTTAAAGGTCATTAATGGGTAGAAATCTTTAAAAATCAATTGTAAAAATACGTCGTCTTTTTTCGATTTTCAAAAACCAAAATACTCATTGATTCTTGTACTTTGTCTTCCAAATGTCCTTGGTTATTGAAAGGATTCTGAACTATGAGCATTTTTTAACAAAATTTGTGATGGAAAGTTGTTTTTTGTCTGACAAAATATTTTTTATTGGGAAAATTGGGCCCATTACAATTTTTTTGGCCAATTTTTTAACACTCAGCTTGAACCTGAAGGTATAGGGAGGCCTGTAGCTAGTGCACGCTTTGCCACCCCAGAATGTATCCAGTAGGATTAGTTAAGATGTAAGTAAATTTTGTTTACAAGTTAATGTATCATTCCAGAATTTTTTAGTGTTTTGTTGCGTATGCATGCCATATCCTGAAATCACGCATGAATCCATCCTCACCCCGTTTCAGAGCAACCGTACAAACTGCAGAAATCAACAATACGGGGTAAGCCAGGTGAGTTGGGTCGCCGGAGATGTGATAATTACTCCACCGCGTGGCCTCTCTTCTTGACAGAATTAAGTGAGTGTATTCAGTTAAAAATGTTTTTGAAATATCTATTGTACATCTCCCTATGCTCAAAATTATCTTACTTTGCACACGAGCTATATATGTTTTTGGAAAGGTAGAGAAGCCTAAAAAAAAGTCAGCCATTTCTCTTCTCCTTTTTTAATATATTGTTGTATGCGGATTGTGGACATTGATTTTTTGGTCGAATCTTGAGAGAAAGCAGTTTCTAGATGTAGTAATTAAATCCTTCAGTTTAGATATTACAATAAATGTACCTACGTAGACTAGACTTAATTCAAAGAACGCAATCGATCAAATAATAAGTAACAAAACCACTACTAGACACTATAATTGCAACAAAAGATTTCAAATGCAGTGATCACGCTACACGAATACAAATTCTTACTATTGTAAGTATGTGAACATCAACCAAAAATAATAGATTACTAGATTGTTTACTAAAAGTAACAAAATTATTCGTAGATTACTTGCTACAGAAATCATTAGACACGGTTTACAATAATATTGATGAAAATGATAAATAAATTTCTTTTTTTCCTACGCGTTCATTTCAGTTTAATACTATCTTTCCCCTCCAAATACAAAATTAAAACATTTCAAAGAAATTTATTTCCTGGATAACACAAGAGATTAGGACATCATGTAACAAACGAGTTTTTTTTTAAATTTCTAACCTTCATAACGGATCTCATAATTTCCACATAAACTTGCAAAAATACAAATCACTATTTAATTATTACTAAAAAAGACATATTAGAGTTCATAGACTACATACAAAGACAAGTAAGCTAAAATCATTAAACACGAACAGGATATTTTAAATTCTAATCAAACAAATGCAATGCGAAATGTAGTAAAAAATACATCAACGAGAAACCTTGTAGTAAATATTGTTTTAAAAGATAATGATGGAGACGTGAACGATCCGGCAACAGTTTCTAGTCTCTACAACTAATATTCTTCCAGAATTGTCGCTGATCTCACTATGAGTCTTACGCCAAAAAATACGAAATATCTTCCTATGGAATTTTCAATTAAAAATACAAACAAAAAACCAACAACAAAGGATAACTAAGAAATTTTCGACGGGTTTAGTCAAATTTCTGAATACTTTGTTAGACTTTTGCGCCAGCCATTATACACTCTTTTTTTCCTGGGTCTTTTTACTGTCTGTCATTACGTCCCAATGGGGCGAATTCTCGACCATGCATTAGACAGTAAAAGACTTGCGGGCTCCTTTTATCTGGGGTCAGAAGAACTCGAGGCCCTTCGCGAGAACACATACATGAAAGACGAGGAACAAACAACCATGCCCAAGCAGGATAAAAACCTGCGGTCCTTCGGGTCGAAGCGCTGAAACGGTATTATAATATACGATCTTAGACACCTCGGCCACCCAGGCCGGAAAACAATCGTTAACTCTCATATTCAATGCATCCTTATGGACCGAAACATTTCCAGATTTTTCAAACCGTTGTTTATCTTTTGTCGTTCGTCGTACGTCGTTCATCGTTCGTGGTTCGTGTTTCGTCGTCAGCTTTTCGTATCTCGTTTTTCAACGTCCGTTTTCGCCGTTCTTCTATCGTCGTTTGTCGGTGTTCTTTCGTCTAACGTTGTTCGTCACTCATTTTGTTTAATTCTTCTGTCGTCCTTTTTCAGTTCTTTTTTCCTTGTTCGTCGTTCCTTTATTGTCGTTTTTCGTCTGCCGTTCGACGCTCGTCTTTCATTTCCCGTCTTTCGTTTTTGTTCTTCAACGATTGCCTTTCGTCGTTTGACGTTCGTATTTCGTCTTCGCCTTTCGACTTCCTCTTTCGTCTTCATTTGTCTTCACCTTCCGTGCACGCCTTTTGTCTTCGACTTCGTCTGTCGTCTTTGTCTTCCTTCTTCATATTTAGTCTTTCGTCATCTTGCTCGTCTAGGTCTTCGGGTTCGTCTTTCTTCTTTCGTCTTTCTCATCACTTACGTCGTTTGTCGTCGTCTTTCATCTTCATCTCTCATCTTCGTCTTCGTCGTTCGCCGTTCCGTGGTCGTTCGTTTTCGTTTTCGACGCAAGTCTTTGTCTTTACTTTTCGTCTTCGACTTTCATCTCTGCCTTTCGTCTTTGTCTTTCATCTTCATTGCCGTCTTTCGTTAATTCTTTAATTTTCGTCTTTCCTTTTAATTTTTGCCTTTGATTTACATTATGTCTTATTCCACTCGTGATCGTATTTTGCCTCCGTCTTTCTTCGTTGTCTTTAGTGTACCAACGTTAGACTTCGTATTTCGTCATCGTCATTTGTTTTCCGTCATTGTCTTTCGTCGTTCTTCTTTCATCCTGTTCTTGGTTTCTTGGTTCTTCTTTAGTTGTTCACCATTCGTCGTTCGTATTTCGTCATTCGTTGTTCGTCGTTCTTTTTTCATCGCTCGTTGTTCCGCACGTTGTGGTCTTTGGTTTTTCGCCTTACGCCTTTCATCTTTCGTCGTTCGTCTTTCCTCTTTCGTCTTTCCTCTTTCGTCTTTCCTCTTTCGTCTTTCCTCTTTCCTCTTTCGTCTTTCCTCTTTCGCCTTTCCTCTTTCGTCTTTCCTCTTTCGTCATTCCTCTTTCGCCTTTCTTCTTTCGTCTTTCCTTTTTCGTCTTTCCTCTTTCGTGTTTAGTCTTTCCTCTTTCGTCGTTCGTCGTACACAATTCTTTGCTAGTCGTTCGTTTAAATGTTTGGAACTTTTATATTTTTCGAATTTTTATATTACCAAATTTTTATTTTTTTCGAATATTTATATTTTTCGAATTTTTATTTTATTCGAATTTGTGTACTTTTCGAACTTTTATATTTTTCAAATTTTTATACTTTCCAAATTTTTATATTTTTAAATTTTTATATTTTTCGAATATTATTAGTTTTTTTCGATTTTTTAGAGTTTTCGTTCTTTTTTACATTTTGTGTTTTGGTCTTTCGTCGTTCGTCTTTCGTCGTTCGTTATTCGTCGTCACTCGTCCGACTTTCATCTTTCGTCGTTTGTCGCTCATCGCTCGTTTTTCGTCGTTCGCCTTTCGTCGTTCGCCGCTCGTCGCTCGTCGCTCGCTTACATTTTTCGTATTTATATATTTTTGGAATATTTTTAAGTTTTTTGGTTTTTTTAGATTTTTCATGTTTCGTTCGTCGTTCGTCTTTCGTCCTTCGTCGTTTGTCGCTCATCGCTCGTCCTTGGTCGTTCGCCGTTCGTCGTTCGTCACTCGTCGTCCGTCTCCCGCCGCCCGTCGCTAATCTCTCGTCACTCGTTCGTTTACATTTTTCGAACTTTCATATTTTTAGAATTTTTATATTTTTTCGTTTCTCCGAT